TCTCCACGGCAGAGGCAGCACTAAGGAGCAGCAAGCTGAGTGGTAAGGAGCAGCGAGCAGGCAGGCGGTAAGGAGCGAGGGGTCCTGGACTGCAAGAGGGCGCAGGCTGGGCTGAGGGACACCCGCCCCCTGTGCATGAATTTCATGCACCGGGCCTCTAGTTATAAATATAAAGACCACTATTATGGACTAAATGTTTGTGTTTCCCCAAAATTGGTATGTTGTGGTCCTAACCTCCAAGGTGATGGAGTTAGGAGGAGGGCCTTTGGAAGATGATCAGGTCATGAAGGCAGAGCCCCCATGAGGTAGTTATAAATATAAAGACCACTATTATGGACTAAATATTTGTGTTCCCCCAAAATTGGTATGTTGTGATCCTAACCTCCAAGGTGATGGAGTTAGGAAGATGATCAGGTCATGAAGGCAGAGCCCCCATGAGTAAGATTAGTGCCTTGTCAAAAGAAATCCCAGAAAGCTCTCTGTCCCTTCTAACATGTGAGAACACAGTGAGAAGATGGCCTCTGACATGGTGATCTGCCTCCCTATTTCCCCACTGTTTACATCCTCTGGCTTCCCCAACTCTTTCCTCTTCCTGTTTACCCACATCACTGTTGTTATCTCTGTTCTTCACGTGTAACCTGTTATTATTTTATTAGTCAGTCAGACTCACTTCCAAGCAAGTTCTGTCATAACATCTGAAAGGGAGGAAGCTATAGATCCCTTTGCAAAATGCTTACATACTACACAGAACATGGCATGACCATTACACGTAAGATTAGTGCCTTTTCAAAAGAAATCCCAGAAAGCTCTCTTGTCCTCTCAACATGTGAGGACACAGTGAGAAGACGGCCTCTGTCATGGTGATCTGCCTCCCTATTTCCCCACTGTTTATATCCTCTGACTTCCCCAACTCTTTCCTCTTCCCGTTTACCCACATCACTGTTGTTATCTCTGTTCTTCACGTGTAACCTGTTATTATTTTATTAGTCAGTCAGACTCACTTCCAAGCAAGTTCTGTCATAACATCTGAAAGGGAGGAAGCTATAGATCCCTTTGCAAAATGCTTACATACTACACAGAACATGGCATGACCATTACACAGAACAGTGGGGTGCCCACCCCAGCGCCATGGGCCTTCCCCTCATGCATGCCATGTTTCTGCTCTGCCCTGGCTTTCTGCATTGTCCCTGGGGACAATGCCCCTGATGAAGGCTCCTACCATATCACATGGAAAAGGATTTAAGTCATCTACTCACAACAAGTAAGCGCTGGGATGTCTACATAAGGGACAGGTAAGATGATAAACACGCACGTCTCTCTTCCCTTCCCTTCCCTTCCCTTCCCTTCCCTTCCCTTTCCCAGTTTAATTCCGCAAAGCTTTAAAAAAAAAAAAAAAGCGCTTCCATTAGGTGACTGTCAGGCTGAGAGATACCCAGTGGCTACAATGCCAAGAGGAAAATTCCAGGTCTCCCAATATCTCAACATAAATCGAAACCCAATCAAACCACAGCTCCTGCTCTCCCCTAATTATGCTGAGTCCATTCAGAATTGAACTGAAGGATGATTTTGTTTTCACAATTCAAAAAGACACTCCTGAGATGTACCAACGCTGAAGGCACAGAGAAATAGAACACCTACTGTGTGGGAGGAGTCAAGGCATTGACCAGGCCGTGCAGTGGAGCAGCCGTATTCTACTGGTGCCCCGTGCTGGGTGTGCTGGTCAACCCCGGAGCTACTTACTGTGTCAGTTATCAATTTAATGCTTCTTAGATCCTAACGCACCCTTCAATAAACGATGGAATTCCTTTAAACATTTCTCCTTTAAAGTAAGTGCAATGCTAAGCTTTCTTTAGAGACGGTGCTAGAGGGACATTGCCACCTGCACCTGGAGGAAGAGGCTTCCTGCAATGTCAGGCATGGGCCAGGGGTAGGCAGTATAGGCATGAGACTCCCCTGTGGAACCTGTCCAGACACAGGGGCAGAGTTTTAAATGACACTTATTTATAGATAATATCCATCCTCCCTTGAAAAGATTCGTTCTGAATTCTACCCCCAGGACTCAAATGCACAACAATAGACTAGATTTAAAAGAAGATGGAAGTGTCTTGATTACTTGACCTGACGAATAATATTTCAGAATATTTTCTTGAAATCTGTATGTCTACTGACTATCACATCCATTTACTAATTTCAACAGATTCAGACAAATGATGTGTAATAGGCAAAAGAAGATCCTTACTTCAAAATAATTAATGAATTGCAAATAAATCCTCAGATCATGCTAAGAAGCTACAAGTGTCTCAATTCATCAAAATATAAACACTCATTTATACTCAAGAAACAACCAACCTTGTAAATATATGTCTAAGTATGTATGTCATCATTTATTCGTTCACACAATAAATTTATTAAGCACCTATTATTTGCCAGATGGTGGGATACCTAAGTAAGTAATAAAAGAGTCCCCACAAGGAATAGAGGAACAGTACTTTGTTAGCATTGTTTTAAACACATAGAGTGATATATAATTCTATACATGTGTATTACTTGGGTAATTGGGGAAAACTTACTAAATAAGCTTCTTTTCCTAAAGTTGTCTTTCCTTTGTGAGCCAAGAAGAGGAATGAAAGCCCAAACTAGTTAAGTCTGATGTTTGAGAGCCATAAAATAATTGTGCTTACCAGGAATACAGAATTGTTCCAACAACAGATGTGAGTTTACTGTTCTCTTGTTTTTGCTTTGCCAGGCCAAAGTCAGCTACGATTCACAAAACAAAACAATGTTAGCATTTTTTCCCCAGAATTAGCATCTTTCCTTAGACTTTGAGATTATGTATAATAGTTATTACAATTCACAACCTTCTACAAAATGCCCTATGTATCGATCTTCCACACCACCACCAGCCTTAATGAATGGCATACATACAATATTCCATTATGCTATGTATTTTGACATGAGGCTTATCATTTAAAAAATACTAAAGTAAGTCTTGCTAACTGAAACATAGAACAAAGTACTAATTGAACTTCTTGTTTCACATTTCAAATTACCTTTTATAATTTCAAATTAATAGAATTAATCTAATATTTTGGCATATGGCAGTCATGACCTCATCTGGCCAAAAAATAAATAAGAATTAAAAATAAGGTAAGCCTGCCTGGCTGCTGTGACTCAGTGATTGAATGTCAATCTCTGAACCAGGAGGTCACGGTTGGAGACCCAGTCAGGGCGCATGCCCGGGTTTCGGGCTCTATCCCCAGTAGGGGGCGTGCAGGAGGCAGCCAATCGATGATTCTCTCTCATCATTGATGTTTCTCTTTCTCTCCCTCCCCCTTCCTCTCTGAAATCAATAAAAATATACTTTTTTAAAAAATAAGGCAAACATAAATAACCACCATGAAGATCTAAAAATGTGAAATTAAATGGCATCTATTGGTACTAAATCACAGTAAATATGATATTCAGAATCATCTCAAAATATTTATACATCACCAAATAATTCTGATTTTCAATTTAGAACACCAAATATTTGATGAACTTTTCAAGTCACCTACAGATTCTTTTCTTTTAAAAAAACACTCAACAGCTTCAGTCAAGGTGGATCTTACTTGGCAGGTGGCAGCATTTGGGGCCAACTCTGACTACGTTGAGCCCAATGTGCCACTGAGTCAGGGTCTGTGTCACCTCCAAGGCTGCAAATAAGTGCAGTGACAAGACCTGGACATGTTTCACGGCAACAAGTGATTAAAAGATGACTTCAAAGATAGTCTTCTGCCCTGGCCCGGTGGCTCAGTTGATTGTAGCATCCTCCCATTCACCAAAAGGTTGTGGGTTCAATTCCAAGTCAGGGCACATATCTAGGTTGCAGGTTCGGTCCCCAGTCGGGGCACATACTAGAGGCAACCAATGGAAATTTCTCTCTCATATCGATGTCTATCTCTCTCTCTTTCTGTCTCTCTCTCTCTCTCAAATCAATAAATATATTTTCAGGTGAGGATTTTTTAAAAAGATACAGTCTCCTATATGGAAATATATTTATACATTAAGATTAGCTACCACTTGTAAATTTTGCACACCTAAATATGCTGGTACTACTCTGCTGCCTCAAGAAGGCAAAAATCCAGGCAGCATGTTACTATAAATAACTGCAAACTAATCATCTTAAAACATCTAATTCACCTATAGTGAGTGAAAAGAGAGGGGGAAAAAAGGAATTTTTCATTTTTCTAAAGTGTTTTTTTTTCTGGTCACATTTTTAATACCTCTCATGCATCTTAAATATCGTTTGGGAATTCTGTGCTTCTTTTCTGGGAGTAAATAAACCTTCTAGCACAGAAAAGAGAAAAATAAAATATGACAAGGCTGCCCCTTAGTGGTGACATGCTTACACACACATACACACACACACACAAACTATTTTTATAGGCTCTATGAATTGCAGCTTTATTTAAATCTCCCCAAATGTGGAAATCTTATACATTTGTTTTCAAATTAATGCTGTATGATTTTAATTTAACTGTAATTCCTCTTAAAAATAAGAGTCTTCAATGTCCATACTTATATCAATCGTGATAACACTGAAAAACATATTTCATCACTATTTTATTTTAAATATTTTTAAATGGTAAAACAAAAATACAAAGAGCTAACAACTGAGAATAATTATTTTAAAAACTAAGAGATTATCTACACTAATAAAAGAGAAACATGGTAATTAGCGTACGACCACTACCCTTTTCATTGGCTAATCAGTGAGTATATGCAAATTAACTGTCAACCAAGATGGCGGCCGGCAGCCAGGCA